GCTTCCTGCAGCAGCTGCAGCCCCCCTCGGCCCTTTGGAGTCTTTGGGGGCGCTGGACGAGCCCCGCTCTGCTTGGCGAATGGCCGGCCCTCAGGAGGTGCGTCCGGCCCGGCGAAAGCCAGCGTCCGCACCAGGCAGGCAGCTTGCATTCAGATGGCCGGCGCGTCCGGGCCAGGCCCAAGGGCTGTCCGCCCAGTGCCGGCCCACCGTCGCCACCCAAGTTCACCAAGGACCGCAGGGTCCAGGCTGTCACCGCTCCCCGCCGGGGAGCAGGGGGTGGTCATCTTGAGACTTGCGGGGACCAGCAGGAATAGGAAGTGACTTGCGCGGCCCCAAGAGGCCCCCGCCTCCCAGCCAGACTCAGAGGCTGGGCCAGACAAGACCACGTGGGCCAGGACGGGCCCGGCCAGGGCCGGCACCGAGGCCCAGAGCCGTTTGTGGGGGCCCCAGCCCGCCCGGCCCAGCGCCCTGCCACGTGCAAGGGGCGTCACGAGCCAGCTACGTGCATGTTGCTCCGAGGCGCTGAGTTCGGGGTGGTGCAAAGCCATGACAGCTGACAGACACACTTTTAACTGAGTCAGAGCATCCGATTTTGGTGCTTTAGTCACAACAGGAGTGAAACGCAGGTGTCACAATTTCATGTTTCTGCAGTAACCGTCAGCGGAGGGAAGCCCCTCCCACGGCCACCGCCGCTGACGTCCCCAGACTTAAGCAGCCAAGAAGCAGCAGGAACCTGCTTCATGGAAAGACTGTGTCTAGCCGGAACTTCCCAAAATACGCGCTTCACGACTCTTTAAGGGCTCCCACTTACAGCCGGAGTGGAGAGGCCTCCACGAGCCCCCAGTCACACACCCGAGAAGGCCTGGCAGCGACGCAGCGAGCTGGAGCCCCGCACAGGCGCGGACGGCCGGAGGCGCAGAGGCCGTTTCTGCTCGGCCCAGCAGCTGCGGGCACCCGACGGCCCAAGCAGGTGCCACTCGCCGCAGCGGCAGAGCAAGTATTCGTGAAGCGCGAAACGGGCGGATCAGCGCCCGGAGCGCTGGAGGAACGCCACCCAGAGGGGCAGAAACCGCAGGACGGGCGGCGCCTGGCCCCGAAGGGAGCGCAGATGGCCCGCGCGGAAAGCGAGCCCGGCCAGGGAACGGGCACTGCCAACTCCAGCGACCAGCTGCACCTCGCACCGCCGGCTGGCAAGGGGGTGGGGGAGAAGCTGTTCTCTCACAACTGGGCCTCGCCGGGAGTCGGGGAAGCGGAGTCAAGACGGGAACGCGGCAGCAGGGCGAGGCCACGAGCCCACAGGCGCGACGCGTGGCTAAAGTGGGGACGCAGATTCTCGGCCACCAAGCGTGACCCAGTGCCGGCAGCAGGCCCACGCCGAGTGTGC